ATCGTCAATTCACACCTTCACAAAAACAATGTGTTCGAAGTTTGAACATTACAAAAGTGTACTCTTCAAAATCTACTCCGAAAACAGTTTGATTTACTAAATTATCTTGACATTACAATCGAAATAACTATATCTCTGAAAACAACGAATGTTATATTTAAGCCTGCCACATTTCGATTGTAGTACAAGAATGATTTAATAAATCAAACTAATTCCGGATTAGATTTTGATGAATACACTTTTAGATAGAAAGACATTTCTCAAATGTTTACAATGTTCCTATCAAATATTATACACACAAACAAAAAGAGTAGAGATGGGAATGCACTCACACTTCGTTAGTAGAATTACATAGTTTTTTGCTGATATGTACAAAAAATGTATATCATTTAAAATCTAAAATGTACGATTAAATACTAATCATTGCGCGATCTAAAAGTTATAATAAAGTCTATTAACAGTGAAAATATCTAGCGTTATGCCAGAAGTGAAGGACTAGATATACGAAAAAAAGACTTTAGATGTTAGACGCGGTAAAATAGAAACTCAATTATTTTTTATAAATATCAATAAAGTAAGAAATAGTGTGATTATTTTCTAAAAAAATGTTCAAACTCTTTCTTCCTCTTTCAAATTGATTAATGTCTAATGTGATTTTTAATTGAAAATAATTCATCACAATTAATTGAAACGATTAATACCAGTCATATTTTTTAGTTAACTTTTTTGTCGTACAAATAAGTTGAACAAGAATAAGACATATATTGAGAAGAAGACAAGGACTTTCTACTCATCATAATAATACAAGTTTAAAATCATCAAAATCCAAACAACAAGTGAATAATACAAACATATCGTCATAACTTTGATGATGTTCATTCCATCGTGACATGATAGGCTTCTCGTCATATCAAATGATCTTCCGTCTAGTCTAGTCTCAAAATTTCTTGTTTCTTCACTTAGTCTGTTTATGATCTTATTTTGGTATTTGTGTAATGTTTGAAGTTTGATATACATTGTTATGTATATTTACTCTACATTCGCAGAACATTACGCATTTCTATTCTCAAGTAAATATACACGTTCATGCTACATGATGAGATTACTAGTAAGTCTTTTCTATACCAACTATACGGCTTGGAACTTATACGGCTTGTAACTTGAAACGTTTTTAGAAAATATTAGAAACTGTACAATTGCAAATAAAATAGAATTTGAACTTATTTGATCTTTACAGTTCGTTATGATCATATCTAAAATCTCGTTTTTCACATTATGTTTGTAATTTAAGTAAACATATTCGTCAACTCCATTAACATTAGAAATTAGAGAAATTGAATTCTACTCTTTCTTTGATTGCATTTAAACGCATGAAAAAAAGAGCTCTGGTAACAATCTTATCATACAACGGCCATAGACGATTAGTGTAAAAACATTTATTAATACGAAGTGTAAAACTGTTGTTGTTTTTTTCTGTCTCATGGACTTTAAATATTTTTCTTATTCTTATTGTGAATTTGATTTGAATTCACTTTTTTCCTCTACTAAGCTGATTTTTTTAGCTTTGATAGTGTAGATTATGATTTCACTTCATTAATTTTGAATTACTGTTGTTCAACTTTTTTTACAACTTGATGGTTATTTCTTATCTTGTATCATTTCGACACTCCCACTGTCTTTCGAATGTTGATATTGTGTGGCTGATATAACAACTATCAGGATATAAGTGATCCAAAATTGACAAATTCGTTGAATGTTTGCTTAATAGCTCACTGTTTGAGGCTGTTTTCACTAGTTATGCTTTTCTACGTATAAGACTGTGAAAATATAGTATTAATGAAATATTAATACTTTGACTTTAATTGTCGATCAGTGAGAAAATTTGAATAAAAAAAAACTGGCAATATTTGCGTTATTTACACGCAGATCGATATTGACAATTATTATTGTTGAAACGAAATTCTCAGTAATTCAGTTCAAAATCTGAAATCGAAAGTTTTTTCTGTTTTATATGGGAATGTTTAACAATTGAGATAATTACAGAAGAGAGCTGTTCATTGTTCTAAATACAGCATACATTTTTCAAGAGTACTCAACAAAAAATGTAAGAACTTGTAACTTCTTTAAATCAGTATAAATAAAACGATAAGTTATCTTGAAACTGTTTTTTTTTCTTGATATGACACATATTTCAGAACCATTCTTAATTTAATAATGATACGAGACATGTTTTCTCACATCTTTTCAAATTGAGAAAGTTTTATTGAATAAATGCTTCCAAAAATTGTTCAAATGTTTCTTCACAGTAAAAATACTACGAGGCAATTTGTGACGCAGTTAAAAAGTATATGTATTAGATAGAAGGAGTTGACAAGGTGTAAATAGATAAACTCTTTCAAGCGTCTAATTGAGATTATAGACAAAATGGATTGATGTTGACATGATTATGCAAATGATTGCCTCATGTCATCTGACTAAATATTCTGTTTTTTTTTTCAACTCATTGGCATAAAAAAATCACATCTTGTCTTCAAGCTTATAAACGGGTATATTTGATTTTGTTCTGCAAGTAATCTAGCATTTAACATTGAAATGCAGTAAGTTTGATTGTTAATAAACGTTATATTAAAGTTTAAAAGCCTAAAAGGTTGAAATAAAACAAAAACGAACATGAATAAAGTCGAACAATGTAAAATGACTTTTTCAAAATGTTCAGGAATGTATTTATAAATATTTTCTTGAGGCAGTTAAAATAAATACAATATGAAAACTCAAATATAAAAAAGGAAAAAAAATATATATATACAACATAAATTGTGGACTAGTTCATATAAATAACACGTGTACCAACATAATTTACTGTGTTTCAATGTGACTAAATAACATGCCCTTTAAAACTCAATGGAGCGTATAAAGAAAAGACGGCAAAATAAATCAATTTTATTTATTTTTCTTTCATTAGATATGTTTTTTTAGCCTAATTTGATTTCTTGTTTTCCGATTAGATGAACTTAAAGTTTGATTTATAACTGTGACTCAGATTGGTCTTCTGGCCAAAATTGTTGTTAGATGGATAGTAAAGGAATAGATGAGCATACTGTTGGGTAGATATTGACTCACTTAAAACTGATAAATTTGATTTTGACAATATCCTACACCGATAACGATTTATTATTATTATTTTTCTTTCTTTTTCATATTTTTATTATACACTATTTTTTTGTTATTTAAACTATGATTACTACTAAAGATTAAAATTCTTTTTGTTTAATGATCAGCAAGTCTGTAGCCTGAAATACAATACGGTTTATCAGTTTTCTTTATTAGATGCATGTTGTCTGGGAAAGTTATTTTTGAGTATTATTTTATTCTGGATTTAAAGTGCTTAATATATTTTTCTTTCTTATTGTTTTAATCTTAGAATAACAAATCCTAAATAGATTTTGCCATAATTGTTTCTTTTTTTTTTGTTCTTTTGCCCTTGCACACACACACACATACACACACACACACACCCTTACATAGGTGAAACATTAAATTGAAACTCCAATGTGATTATTTGTACAATCTTCGTATTGTACAAATCTATCCATTTATCTATATGATGTTGCCACATATAACTGTAATAACGACGATAACGAACGCGAGAAACAAAAAAAGAAAGTATATGAAAAGGTTAAACAAAAGACATTTGAATGGTAAATAAATGTATGCTATGGTGTTTTTCTCATTGAAATTTTATCCTATTTTTTTGTTCCTCTTCTTGATGTGTATATGGAATAAATGAAAGCTACACATAGATTGATTGAAACTAATTTCTTTAAAAAAGAAAAAATAAGTAAAAATTTGTTTTGTTTAGCAAATGATACATACTCACATCATCAGGTATTGTCTTTCTCATTTAAGTACCAAAATATGATAGATACATCTGTACTATTCACAAGCTTGGCCTTTTGAAAAAGAAAAATACGTCTATTTACTACTGACCTTCGATTGTTTTCTCTTGTAAAAAAATATTCATCTGTCGCCTATAGGTCTAAAAAAATTCATCGAACCGTGTCCAAAACTGCTATAAAGACAGTGTAAATGGGAAACAGAGAAAAGAATAAAGAGAAGAATAGGTAGATCATTCATCTTTAACCAATCGTCAAGGTATAAAATATGCACTAGAGTGTTATATTTTCAAGGATAAGTTTTCTGATAGTCAGACTGACTATTGAACGATTATGTAAAAAGGCAGTGTCTGTAAGTTATTAATGTTTTCAAATATCTCATCTCGCCTGGATCGAATTGAAACAGATTATTTATAGCTGTTATTGATTAGGAATGGGATGTCGTATTAATGATCAATACATTTGTACCATTTTTTCTATATCTAATCCCGAATATGAGTTAATTTTCTTTTAAAATGATTTAAATAAACAGGTGGAATTTTCTTTCGTCTGAAAAAAGAATGGAGTAAATTAGTACTTTAAATCAGACATTTTAATATCTATTTCTTATATAACAAATATTTCTTTGATAATGTTACATTATTTACATTGTTTACATTGTTCAAATCTATGAGGTAAAATGTAGAGTAAGAAAAATCCTACACATTAAGAAGCGTCCCAACGTACGATACTGACATTTTCTAAAACGCTGTTAGAACATTGTTTGTAAAATATACTATAATACGTTCGTTCATTTGCTGGTTTATGTCATAAATAAACGTATGCTTCTTAAAAAGCATGATTAACATTGGTCTAAGTAGATAACGTAAAGCCTACTTTTAATGATTATTTCATTATTTTTGTTCAAGAGCTATAGGAACATAAAACGCCTTTACATTGTTCCTCTTTACTTTAACCTTCATTTATATTTTAGGACCATATATACGAATAAGAATTAGAAAACAAAAACCATAAACAATTGAAATCATTAAGTAATCACGTTTTTATATGAATATCATAGAGCAACAATAGGAACAGTAAATCTTATAAAAAAAGAACATTAAAACAATGTTGCATTTATCTCAAAATCAATCTACAACTTATCACAGTCAACCATTACCAACAGCGTCCTCTTATCAATCACAATATTCAGCATCATCCCAACAGCATTCAACAAATGAATCTGAGCAAACAAGTATTGATCTTCGTCCACGTTCTTGCATTCTAAGAAAATGGCCACATTACGATGGTTATGGTGTTGGTGAGTATCATCACTCTATCTACTCTATGAATATAGATTAGCAAAATATTTTATTTTTATTCAAGTATTGGGACGAAATTATACTTGGTTCGGTTTACGTATTGGTGATGTTGAACCAAATAGTCCGGCTGAAAGTGGTGGCCTATTACGTGAAGATGTTGTTCTAGCTGTTAATGGACGAGCAATTGAAAATGAGGATTTTTTTGTTATCTTATCATTTATACAGCGTGAATTAGAAAATGATGAAATATGCTTCTTAGTATTAGATCCACAAGGTGCCGATACCGCACGTCGTAATAATATTTTCATTGATGATCATTATCCATCGGTTGTACGAATGGAAACGCCAACGTTAACTGTCAGTCCGCAAAAGTTGCTTTATGATCAATGGTCAAGAGATCCAACGTTATCACGGAATACAATACATTTAGGACCAGTTAAAGATGCAGATCAGCGTTCGTCGGCATATAATAATAACGTAGATAATAATCGTATACCATCTATCTTGTCTTATCAAGATAATCATTCGACATCGCAACGTTATTCTGAAAAAAAACCACAAGAGACAGCTGAACAAGTTTACACATTTTTACCATATTCAGGTATGTATATTTAACAAACAAAGTTTCATTTAAACTTTAGCAACAAAGTTTGAAGAAAATTTTGCAATATACCATGCAAAAAAAAGAATGACTGTTTATTTTTCAAACTGTTTGAGTTTGAAGTAGATCGGCACCATTGGAGCCGATTTCCACGTCTTTTCAAAAAGTAACTTCTGTAAGCAAGGACACGGGGAAAACAAAAAGAAAAGGTCTTCTTTTCCATTATACATAATGGAAGTAGTGGAAGGCATGACCACCTAACTCTACTATCGGTGTGAAATTCCGTGACAATTTTTTGACATTTTGTGTTCTCTAATAATTTTCGAAGAGCAAGAAGTCCAGATAGTTGAAACATCTCAGATTAAAGAGAAAAGTGTGTTAATGATTTTGAGACGTTCCAGCAGACAACACGTTCTTCCGTTCAAAAATTATTTGAAAAAGTCGGTGTTTGTATTTTTGTCATAGTTTTTGAACGGAAGAACGTGTTGTCTGCTGGAACG